TCCCGGACGTAGTGCATGCTAAGGATTAGAATATATGCGAGCACTCGTATCGTTCGGTTTATTATTGTTATTACTACGTCTTTTAAATTCAATATATATTTATTGTCGCCTATCCTGTGAACTAATTTGATTTCCGAGAATTGTTGATTCTTGAGCTATTACAATCTTTGATCGTTTCGAAATCCTTTTCCTGGAACTTAATAAGTTCTCATCGTGATTCGCGAATTATTCGAGTAATTTCTCATCCCGATTCCTTGATTACTCAATTGAGTTCTTTTATCGACTTGAATAATTCAACGAGTTTCAATTCGTTTCTCTATCAATTCGGAATTGTTTCACATCTTTACTTGTATACTAGTTGGAACCACTTCTTCTATAATGATTCACTATGATTTGTTTCTAAAGTGGTTCATTGAACGTAAATCGTTCTTTTCCCGACTCTTGGACCATTTAGGATTATTATATTTATCCACTAAATCATTCGTTTAGTACCCTTCTTGACTTGTGATTTTGTGACCACAAGATATTATCACTTGTTATTGGAATCCCAAAACTATTGAACTATGAAATTGATTCTTTCCGAAGTGGAATTTATTATTGGGATTCAAATTGGAAATTTAGATAGTCGGAAGCATATCCGATATCTATATATGATTTATTCCTTTGGGGACGCCCTAAGGATAATTGACCAGTTGGGCCCGGGGCAGTTCGAAAAAGACTGCTGGGCGGTATTGGGCCGACGGTGGATGGTCTCTTCGACAGTACCCATATTGGATCTAGACCATTGGCATAGTTGGAGGTTAACTGTGTTGATGGCTGGATCGGCATGCGCCCGGGCATGCCTATTGATCGATTAGCAGGGTAGCTCCCTGATCGGTGTTATAAGGTAGTTACGGCTAAGGGAGTCACAAGGCAGGTACAGGTACATGAACAAATTGTTACCATGGGAATCTCCATGGTCTCATATTTGATATCCGAAATTGTTATCGTGGGAATCTCCACGAAATTCATAATTAATATTCGGGAATTACCCGTTGAATATTGTTCTTTACCTGTACATATTGATTATATTGTCGATTCTGATCATATTGATGTGCCTTATACTTTGGCCTCTTATTCCCTATCGAACGATCATTCTCTAGATGGTCCAATTCCAACTCCAATTCCTTGAACACTTATATTGTGATTATTATTTGATTCGACTGTTTTTCCCTTGTACTCCTCACTAAGTCCACTTGGACTTACTCCTCTTCCCTTGTACTCCTCACTAAGTCCACTTGGACTTACTCCTCCTTTATTTTCCTTCTTATTCTCAGTGGCAGATGCATTAGTGGACGATTATGTTGAAGGTTCTTAGGAATAAAAGTTATTCAGAGATTTTAGAGAGTTTAATCTAGTGTTGTGTTTAAGAATAATTGTAATTCGAGAACTATGAATACGAGATTAGTTGTGGCATTTGGTTGTCACGTGTATTTGATATTATTGTTGAGAAATTAAGTAGGAGACATTGTATTTATCGGAAGTCATTGTATTTATTTATTGTAATGAAAAAAAAAAAAAAAAAGTACAGTGTATTTCGGTAGTGGGCGCCACAGGTGGTATCAGAGCTTGGGTTGGGTACCCGAGCGACGCCGGATATAGATCCTTGGAAATTGTAGAAACTTAGGCTTTAAAGGTTGGATTTAGACTCTTAGATGTTAGAGAACTCTGAATATAAGTTTGAAATTGAGATTATTGACGGTATATCTGCCTAGAATAATAAGTCAACATTCAATATTAGAGGTATTGAGAAGGTATTTTGGCGTCTATTATCGAAATAGTAAGTGATAAATATTCCATATTAATGTCCGACCCTCAATCCTAGGTCACGACATGTTATTTAGACTCGGTTTATCGTGTTTGTTCGAGGTTTAGATGGACCTTGCAAGCATGAAAGTTTATTCTAGCCGAGAGAGAACGGTCCATTCAAGAATGGCAAGTTGTTCGTGCCTTATTTTTAACGCAAATATTGACGAAATCCATAGGAGTTCAGAAGAAAGACTAGTAATTCCTGGTGTGTTTGCTCAATAAATCTAAGGATAAGATAGACGGCAAGAGATATCCATAATACGTGCTTCTCCACAAACGAATTGATCCCGAATTCATAATATTTGAGTTAGTTTAATCGAGACTCTTATCTATTTTCCTATAGATATTTGATGTTCTTGGTTCTTTTGGCCACATCCAATTGCTATTATCGATAACAAGTGAGGTTCCTTAACCCCTTTGAAAATTCTATCGTTTGTCTTATCTTTATTTTTACGAGATTCTATTATATTCTGCTACCGGCTACTTTTGCTTACCTACTTTCATAGATTTTTCTTTCGACATTGATTCAACTCTTATGAGATTTCTAATCTCGTTTCAATTCGGATTTACCTTTCGTCAGACTTCTCATTCCTTTGAGTACTATATCACTTGATTTGGCTTACCTTAATCTCGTTTTCATATATAATCTAGGTTGAGCCAAATGCCTTAGAGTTCATTTACTCGATTCTTTTATCATTTTATCGAATCCGATTTCGTTTCATTGCTCTATATGGAATCTTCTATTATGGCATAAGAGAACCATATTCTGTTAGATCAAACTCTTATGAGATTTCTATTCTCATTCGTTTCGATTATACACTTGTGAAATTCCTTATTTCATTTCAATTTGGTTATACCTTTTGTTAGATTTCTCATTTCTTTGAGAACTCTATCACTCGACTCGGCTCACCTGAATCTCGTTTTCATTCTTTCTCAAGGATGAGCCGAATTTTTGCGAGAGTTTCTCTATTCAATTCTTTTAGCTTCCATTGAATATTATTTTTTTTCTTCTTTGCTATGTGGGGAATCTTTTATTCTAGTGCGAGTAACTCCACATTTATTCTCCCTCTCGCATTAATTATGCATAAGATGATGTACAGTTTAAACTTCGTTGTTGATCATAGTTGATTCTTCTATTCTAGTTTCAATACCTTATGTTCTTGGTTATCAACTTTTCTTGAGTGAGATTCCTCATCTTGCTTAAATACGTCATGATTTTGATTCCATATTATTCACGGCCTCTCATTTCTTTGAACACCTTATGATTCGACTTTCCTATGCTGCTTCATATTATTCCAGTTCTATTGTCAATCATGACCATAATAATTGGTCATAATTCAGTGCACAAGTTTTGACCTTCCTTTTGACTAGCACCTATTCAGATTTTGTGGTTTTCATCTTGGATTATTTTGCTGAATATCCTATGATATTGAATTTCATGCACCAAATATCCTTTTGAAGCTCGTTATCATTTGTTTCATATTTTTGACATGTCCATGGGAAGTTTGTCTAGTCATCATGATTCTGAAAGTCGATAAAGTTTGTTACTCTTGAGATATATTAAGCCTTTCAAGTTCTTGATCCTAATAGTCGCATCTTCATTCCCCTTCAGCGGATTCAGATCTGAAATCCTATCTCTTATTAGATAGAAATTCATATTATCTCGTATAGATTCAAGTTTCTCTTGATGTTACGGAAGCGATGTTATGGAAGCAACTATCAAATCTTTGGGAGCAAAATTTCACTTCGGTACAACAACTCATCCACAACCTAAAGGACTGTTTGAGGTGGTACCAGACTCGTTGAAGATACTGAAGAACATATACGTCGTCTTACCAATAATAATTTTTCTTACGTGGAGCTCAACCTTATGGAAAATTTGTAGTAAGTTCGAGGTACGTACTAAGCTAACACCACCGATCAATCTTGAATATTGTTTCTCGAAACGACATAGCGTGCAGATAAATTATCATATGAATAGAGATCGGTTCTTATTTCGGCACCAACTTTCTAGAGATTAACCACGTAAGGGTTATCCCTCTTGGTGACGAATTCCTCGACAAAAAGGACGTAAAAGGTATTTCGAAGAAACTACCAAGTTGAAGAAGCCACAAGTTGGCAACAAGATGATTATCGAAGACTATTTCCCGTGTTTGAAAATTAGTTGAGAATCTGGGGACCAGATTCCTTTAAGGAGGGGAGATTGTAACACCCCGTAATTTATGCTTATGTTATATATACATATACACAAGAGTTTATTATGCTAAATAATAAGATTAGAGGGTTGTTGTGATATTATGGGATAAAGTTGGGGTACAGATATAATAATAATTTTATAAACTTGGCAATCAAGTTTATGATAGACGGATAAGTGAGAAAGTCTTCGTCATCTTCATCCGATTAATAGCATCTTCCAACTTCACTTCTGCCTATAAATTACCCCCTTCTCGTCGATAGAATCATCATCCACAATCACATAGAATTCAAAGAAATCAAGAGATTTATCGAAGAAATAATTTGAGAGAGAAATCAAGAAGATTGGAGATAAGCTAGGGTTCGACCAACCGAGGGAAAGATGTTGACTTGATGATCTTCCTGGCGGGTTTCAGCGATCGGGATATATCATTCGAAAGCCCTCGATGTAAGCTTCAATTTGGTGGTGGTTTCCGGCTGTTGTCTCAGGTGGTGGTCGCCGGAGTTCAATGAGAAGTCCAGCCTGCCGCTGAAGTTTCAAGAGTCGATTTGAGGTACTTAGGCTTTGAATTTCGGATTTGTTTCTTCTCAAAAGTTGTAGAGAAGCTCGAAAGCTATAGGAATTCCATTTTTCCCCAAATTTCGACTATCATATATAACCGAATTAAACCCGACAGTTATGCCGGCAAAATTCAAAGAAATGAAGAACTGCTGCCGCACCTGTTTTCGGAGCAGAATTTGGAGAGTTTGGAGTGCGAATTCGGGAATCATTCCTTCACAAAACTCGTAGAGAACCTCGAAAACTATTGGTAAGTGTAAAATTGTATCGAGTTAGAGTATGTTTTGAAGCTGATTAGAGGCCCGAATTAAGTGACGGTAAATCTGTCAAAACAGGGCAGTTTTGAGTATTCGTTTTACGGGGCTGTTTATGTTATGTTAAGATAATAATTTAGGCTATATGTCTTCTGAGAACCTGTAGATTACATTTTCAGGTTCAATTTGGTATATTGTTTGGCCAATTTGGATAATTTTACAAATAGTTATAAATTTTACAATAAGCTGTACCAGAAATAATCTTTCCAAAATCCCGGCAGTTCTGTAATGCTGGTTTGAGGCTGTTTCTGCTATTTTCGGTTCCGAATTTGGGACTAAAGCCTTTTGTGAACTCGTAGGATTTTCTGTTAGCTTTCATTTGACGTATCATGTGATCAATTTGGATTTAACGTGCCTAAT